TGTAGTCTTCCCCTCTCCAATCTCTCTTTACTAGTTTAAGAGCGCAAAAGAACAAGCCTTTGGGATTCTGTCCGTGCATCATCTTGAAGTGGTTGGAGACACAATGGGTTTCCAACCCTTTTTTGATGTACCATACATGCTCTGCTATCCTTACATTCATGTTTCTGATTGTTCTTCTATGTATAATAAATTGCATGGACACTTTAGGGATACTATAGACACCAAAACAACTTTAGCTTAATGAAACAGTTTTGGTGTATAGATCATGCCCCTGCAGTCTCAATGCTCAATTATCTGCCATTTAGGCATTAAATCACTTTGTTTATTAACCCTAGTCACACCTCCCTGCATGTGACTTGCACAGCCTTCCTAAACACTTCCTGTAAAGAGTCATCTAATGTTTATCCTTCCTTTATTACAAGTTCTATTTCATTTAGATTTTCTTATCCCCTGCTATATTAATAGCTTGCTAGACCTTGCAAGAGTCTACTGTATGTGATTAAAGTTAAATTTACAGAGCAAGAGATACAATTGTTTAAGGTAGATTACATCTGATTGAAAGGGAAACCAGTTTTTTTTTCATGCAGGCTGTATCAGTCATAGCCAGGGGAGGTGTGGCTAGGGCTACATAAACAGAAACAAAGTGATTTAACTCCTAAATGACAGTGAATTGAGCAGTAAAACCCGAGTGACATGATCTATACACTAAAACTGCTTCATTAAGCTAAAGTTGTTTAGATGACTATAGTGCTCCTTTATATGTTTAGATTATATATATAACTCATTTCGAGTGACAAGTAAGATGGTCTTTAATAGTAAAATCCCTGTTTCCAAGTCTTGGATGTTGGTTATATCTTATATGTCGCTTTTTATTCTTTGTAGATCTACAGGCCAGGCATAATCCAAATGATGAGTTGTTTTGGGTGCACAGCAGCTATGAACTAGAGATTGCTTCAGGTTTCCAGTGCTTCTCTAAATAATTTCGGGTTGTTGAGGTAGAATATCGTTCAGGACTGGATCTTCCTGTAGGATGGGCCATTAAAATTACAGATAAATGGGATGTCTCTATTGGAGGTATTTATATCTCTCATTTTATAAGTTAAAAGTTTCTTTCTTGGAATTTATTTTATTTCTTCCCTAATTAACTCCAAGTCTCTCTCTTCATATCCTTCTCCTTTTTCTTGGAAAAAGGATATGAAGAGATAGACTTGGAACACTGAATATCCCCGACTAAAAAGTGTTTTAAAGGGAAGAAGGATGGGGGCATCTTGGTAATGGTCCCGCTGCACTACTCATGCGAGTCACATGACTTTGGCTCTATTCTTGTGAGTGAAACCATATATATTATTACCATAATCTGTACAGGCAATATTTCACTGTTTCTGTTTTTCTTTATGATTTTTTTAATACATTTTGGTTGTGGTTTTTGGAGATTCCACCAATGTTTGTGTTTTTAGATTGTTTTCACAGACCCTATACTGCACACTCTATTTGTCTTTACGTCTTCTTATTGCGTTGTTCGCCGTGTTGCCTTCCAAAATGGTTCTCTTGCACTAAATACCTAGCATACAGCATGTGCTGTGCTTTTATTAATATCACAGAAAGCATCGGCAGCATAGTATTAAATAATAGACAAGAGGGGACATAAAATAGAATGGATAGGAATATCATAGCATATCTCCATCTCTCTGTCAGTGATCATTGGATTTCCCTTTGGTCAGGATAGCCTCCACCAAGAGGATAGCTTCTGCCATATGTAGGAGTAGTTGTATATTTTGGATTTGTGCTGCCCGAGGCAAGACGAAACTGAGGCACCCCCCCAATGTAAATTTGCCCCACCCCTTCCTTTCAAGGCTGCTCCTCTTCCTGTTTAAGACCAACACGCACTTTGACTGACAGACACACTGACACCTCCACTCAGTGACTGGCACACACTTTGAGATACACATACAGTGACATAAACACACAGTCGCTGATTTGACACACATCCTCACTGATTTGACACACTGACAGACACACAAAATCACTCAGAAACAAACATACAGACACACGCACTCACTGACAGACACACACACACACACACTCACTCACTAGATATACACTAACAGACACACATTTACAGATAGACTGACTGACAGACACACACACTCGCTAACAGACATACACTGACAGACACACACATTCACTGACAGACACACATAGGTTCACTGATAGACACACACTCACTAACAGACACACACTGGCAGACACACACATTCACTGACAGACACACACACTCACTAACAGACACACACTAGCAGACACACACACATGCACTGACAAACACACACTCACTAACAGGCATAAACTGGCAAACACACACACTCACTAACAGGCACACACTGGCAGACACACACATGCACTGACAAACACACACTCGCTAACAGGCATACACTGGTAGACACACACACACTCACTAAAAGACATATGCTTACATGCACACTGACTCACTAACAGACATACACTGGCATACACCTTGATGCATTTTGTATTTTGGGAGAGCTGGAGTGGATTCCTTCCCTGGGGTCCAATGGGGCTGCTTGGCTGGCTGCTGTTGTCTCCTGTGCTGTCTGGCAGCTGCTGGGCTCCTGTGCTGCAGAGTGGATGGGCAGCTGGTCAATGCAGGCAACGAGGGAGCTGTAATCTTCCTGTTCAGCTCCCTTGCACGCCGCTTAGTGATCCTGGGACCCAGAGTGAAGTCATATTCCGGCTCCGACAACACCGCTGAGTGCGCCAGGGAGTAGAGCAGGTATCTGCCAGGGTGCTTTGGGGGAGGAGTTTATTGCCGCCCTACTCAAAGTGATGCCCAAGGCAAATGCCTTATCAGCCTCACTGTAAATACATCCCTAGGTAGGAGTAGGATGTCCTCGGCCATATGTTCTTGCTACTATGTGCTATACGTTTAAGGTATTTTAATCCAGATTGATTGTGTCAGGCTTCAAAATGGGTCATGTATTAAATGCAGAATTTAATATATACAGTGAGTGAAAAAAGTATTTGATCCCCTGCTGATTTTGAATGTTTACCCACTGACAAAGAAATGATCAGTCTATAATTTTAATGGTAGGTGTATTTTAACAGTGAGAGACAGAACGAAAAAAAAAAATCCAGAAAAACGCATGTGAAAAAAATTATAAATTGATTAAATTGCATGTTAATGAGTGAAATAAGTATTTGATCCCCTAGCAATCAGCAAGTTTTCTGGCTCCCAGGTGTATTTTAAACAAATAATGAGCTGAGATGAGGAGCACTCTCTTAAAGGGAGTGCTACTAATTTCAACTCGTTACCTGTATTAAAGACACCTGTCCACAGAACAATCAATCAGTCAATCAGATTCCAAACTCCCCACCATGGCCAAGCCCAAAGAACTGTCCAAGGATGTCAGGGACAAGATTGTAGACCTACACAAGGCTGGAATGGGCTACAAGACCATTGCCAAACAGCTTGGTGAGAAGGTGACAACAGTTGGTGCGATTATTCGTAAATGGAAGAAACTCAAAATAACTATCAGTCTCCCTCTGTCTGGTTCTCCATGCATGATCTAACCTCGTGGGGTTTAACTGATCATGAGAATGGATAGAAATCAGCCCAGAACTACACGGGAGGATCTTGTTAATGATCTCTAGGCAGCTGGGACCAAAGGCACCACCAAGAAAACAATTGGTTTTCACACTATGCCATTAAGGACAATAAAGCACATGTACAGGCCTGTCTGAAGTTTGCCAATAAACTTCTGAATTACTTAGAGGACAACTGGGTGAAAGTGTTGTGGTCAAAATTAAGCTCTTTGGCATCAACTCAACTCGTCATGTTTGGAGGAGGAGGAAGACTGCCTATAACCCCAAGAACACCATCCCCACCATCAAACATGGAGGTTGAAACATTATGCTTTGGGGCTGTTTTTCTGCTAAGGGGACAGGAAAACTGCACCGCACCAAAGGGACGATGGACGGGGCCATGTACCATAAAATCGTGGGTGAGAACCTCCTTCTCTCAGGCAGGGCATTGAAAATGGGTCATGGATGGGTATTCCAGCATGACAATGACCCAAAACACACAGCCAAGGCAACAAAGAAGGCTCAAGAAGAAGCACATTAAGGTTCTAGAGTGACCTAGCCAGTTTCCAGACCTTATTCCCATAGAACATCTGTGGAGGGAGCTGAAGGTTGGAGTTGCCAAACGTCAGCCTTGAAACCTTAATGACTTGGAGAGCATCTGCAAAGAGGAGTGGGAAAAAATCCCTCCTGAGATGTGTGCAAACCTGGCGGCCAACTAAAAGAAACGTCTGACCTCTGTGATTGTCAACAAGGGTTTTGCCACCAAGTACTAAGTTGAAGCAGTCAAATACATATTTCACTCATTGACATGCAAATCAATTTATAACTTTTTTGACATGCGTTTTTCTGGTTTTTTTTTGTTATTCTGTCTCTCACTGTTAAACTATACCTACCATTAAAATTTTAGAATGATCATTTCTTTGTCAGTGGGCAAACATTTAAAATCAGCAGGGGATTAAATACTTGTTTCGCTCACTGTATACATATTCTTGAGGAAACATGAAACTGATTACTTCTGCATGTTGCCTTGTTCAATGTTTGTTAGAGGGTGACCAGATCAATCCATTATGTGGATGCTTTAAATAATGCAGCCATGGCAGGCCAGGGAATCTGTGTTTTATATAGGCAAAAGCTCTCATGCATGTGTTTATATTTTAGAACAGGGATAAAAAAAATATTAGATTTACATATTTTTGCCTTTGATTCCAATACTGTATTGAATACAATATGCCATAAAATTTTCACTAGTGTGTACTTATAAAGTGTGTGTGTATTTTATGCTAACATTTCCAAATACATTTAAATTCGTACATCCATATTAAAGATCCAAACAACAAAAATGTGCTAATATTTTTTAATATATCCATCACCAGGTGTTAAACAAAATTCAGAATGTAAAAGACCCCAAAGTAAATATAGAGAACACACGTTGTCTCCTCTTGGAAGGCATCTAATCAGCTTAGAAAGTAACCAGGATATTTTCACTTATTGCAGCCATCCTGACTCCCCTGGTACTGGCAGGGATTGCATTGATCTGCGCAGAAACAAAAGCATGAATTAAAATTTTAAATATATTAAATAAAATCTGTAATTGGTTGGTTTAATGGTCATGGGCAAAAAGTGATTTAATTATTTATTTTTTATTTTGTGACATATTGAGACATTGAGAATTGCCATGAATGTAAAGAAATACTTTGATTTTTTTTTTTCAATTAAGGCCAAAAATAGCCAAATAACAAAAAGTCTCCAAGTGAATTATGTCTTCATTTTGACTATTTTGGCATTAAATTAGAAATTCCCTTTGAATTCCTGGCATTTATAACTTTAGTTAATAAGCTTGTTTGTTTAATTCCCTTATATTACAGACTCCCTTATAATCTATCTAACAAAATATGTATTTAAAGGAAAACACTTCCCCAAATGAGGAATCCTTTCTAAAGGGATCCCAAAGTCTCTGTGCATTTGATATAAATGAAGGAATGGACACTTCCATTCACATTTTGTGTGTTCGGTTGCATGCAACCCACCCGATTAAAGTAGAATTCACTGCATCTTCGAGTAAAGTCTGATTCTCCATGTCTCCAATTTTGCTATATTATGCTACAAGTTATATAAAAAGAAAAAAAATGCTCTCTATTCAATATTGTGCAAAGTTATAACAGGTCAATGGGTATTGCAGCATCACCTTTGGGGTGTTTGGGGTACAATTCCCTCTGCACAGCCTACATTATTGCAAACTATATGTTTGGTTAATATACTATAAGATCTTTTAAAAATCTAGTATTCTTTGTTAAAACTGGATAAAGAAATTATTTTGTTTTCGTAATACTCTCTTTCCTGCAAGAAGGGAACCAGATGTCGAATCGTGCAGTATCTACAGAGGTTAATACATAGATTTACCTTTTTGGTTGCCGCCGTAGCATTGGCCTTGCCCATATCCTCCTTGACCATGACCTTGATAATGAGCTTTACATGCTACAAAAAAAGCAAACAATATGTTTGTAAGATATGATTGTAAGATATGATTGTGTTCTCCAACTGCAATTTTTGTTATTATGGTAGAAAGGTACTCTTTTTAAATGGTTTAACTTTTCAAATAAGGCATCAGAAAAAAATGTCTTTTAAATGTGCTACTTGAACAAAATTTCCTGACTTTTTTCAATCTCATATTTATCAATTTAACACATTATTATTATTATGATGATATTTCTTTCACCCACCCTGGACCCAAGGCCAGGATCCAGCTTCCAGTGGGTGGACCTCTCCTAAATCCAGAGAGCGTAGCAGGAATAAATCAAGCTCTTACAAGTGGGGAGTAAGTGATTATAGCAATCCCCAGAGTGTAGGTATCCCTTCCCCAAAGCATGAGCCAAGGCTTCAAGAAACGTGCAAGTAGGTCTGGTTTATTGAGGGCTACCTGCCTGGTATTTCTGCAAGTGTCCACCAGGTGGACACTCCCCTAGGGGACCTGGTGGAACAATGGTACACATATTGGATATTAGCCAATCACAGACAATACAAACAAAATACTCCCAGAGTGACATCACAATCCCTCCTCTCTATCCTGGAGATAATTGGGAAGTAATCAAATTATCTCCCAGGACAGAGGCAAGACTCCATTAACCACATGGTTACAAAAAGACATAAAATTACACAATGTTACAATTACTACATAAAATATATACATGCAACATATCCCCAGATAGCTTAGATCTGAGTGCACATTATTACTGAATGGCGCTCAGATCACATACATACAGTTCAATCGCCATGGAGCCACAGTCTTTTCCATAGTCTTTCGTTTCACGAATAGGCTCCATAACATTGCTATCTGGGGTTGCACTACTTACATACTGAAAGTCCCGAACGCCCCGGCAGAAATACACAAATAAACCTTTCTGCAGGGTAAAATTCAGTTTTCAGCACAGGGGCCATAGCTGGAAGGCAGGAGGCTAGCCAGTAGTTCCCTCCAGGCAGTGGCGTACATACCGGGGTCGCAGGGGTCGCAGCTGCGACCGGGCCCGGCCCACCAGGGGACCCGGCCACCCTGCGACCCGGTATGTATGCCAGTGTGGCCAGCCTCTTCTCTTGGGGGGCCCAGGAGCCTGCCACCTCAGGGCCCCCTGAGGCTGGCCCTGGTGTCACCGGCCAGCCGGTCCTGCAGGCGCACAAGGGAGCACTCTCCCCTGTATGCTCCCTCTTCAGCTCCCTCGTGCACTACACTGATACCGGAGCAGTGCAAGAGGACCGGCCGCCCAGGAGCCCAGCAGCACCACTGGACCCCAGGGAATCCCCTCAGCACTCCAAAAGGTAAGGAGGCTGGGGGGATTAAATTTTTAAAAAAAACATGTGTGTGTTTGTGTTAATGTGTGTGTGTTAGTGTGTGTTAGTGTGTGTTAGTGTAAGTGTGTGTTAGTGTGTGTGTTAGAGTGTGTGTATGCTACTGAGTGTCAGTGAGTGTGTCTGTTATTGAGTGTGTCTGCTAGTGAGTGTCAGTGAGTGTGTTACTTTGTGTGTCTGTTACTGAGTATGTTTGTGTGTGTCTGTTAGTGAGTGTGTGTTTGTCAGTGAGTGTGTATGTCTGTCTGTAGCTGAGTGTGTCTCTGTCAGTAAATGTGTGTGTCTGTTAGCTAGTGTGTATGCGTCTGTTCGTGATAGTGTGTGTGTGTGTCTTCAGCACTTACCTTTCTCCAGCGCCGGACTCCCTTGGCGTTGGGGATCCCTCCTCCTCTCAGCTCCGAATGCGCATGCGCGGCAAGAGCCGCGCACGCATTCAAACTGCCCATTACTCAATGCTTTCCTATGGACGTTCAGTGTTTTCTCACTGTGATTTTCAGACTCTCAGGAGCGCTTCTTGAGGCACAGGACTTTGCTGCATATTCCTCTCTATTAGTTAGGCATTATGGATTAGATTAAATACATAACTGTGCAGTTTATTGAGACCACAGAATTTCAGCAGCTCTCTTTCATGGGTAGAGAGGATATAATATAGAAAGACAGGGGTATATCATAACATATCCCAACCTCTCTAATAGTGCAGTGGTCATTGAGTTTTGCTTTGGACTGTAGCCCCAGGTGTTTTTGGAACCTAGCAACGGCCCTGGAACAATTCTGTAATACAATACACAGGTTTACCACACTCATTACCTAAAACTGAGACTTTTGTTAATAGTCTGGCATGCCAAATGTTTCTACAGAAGCACACTATGCTTTTAAGTATTTGTTCTGCTATAGCAATTTTGAATAGAAGACAAAATCTAAAATATCATATTTATACCAGACAGTACAAGTAGAATATCGGGATAAACTTAAAACTAGATTTCAGGTATCACTTACGGTCCTGGCAAGGATTAGAACATGGGTCCTGGCACATAGCTTGCTTTTTGCATGGGTCTTTGCATGGATCTTGGCATTGGGACTTGTGGTGGCTATGTCCTCCTTTGATTCCAGACATGTTTGATCTTCTTGGAGTTAGTAGAACTCGTTGAGATGTAGAATTTCCTATGATGTGTATGACTGCTTGAAGAAACAGCCTTTTATATATGTGATAGGAAATGGGACACACTCTACTACTGACGTTGATATGAACTACCACATTTTATAAGCTCTTATAAATAGCTTGGCATGTCATTTTTTTCAAGGTAATAGAAATAAATTATAGAGCCTGTCTGTGGAATAAAAACTATAATTCATATTTACAGTTTTAAAGTCTAGAAAAATTACAGAAAATTACAGTTTGAAATACCAGTTATATAAGTATATATATATATATAACCAGAATGTTTGGTTAATTGTCAAAGATTTCTTCAAGATGACTGACTATATCCGGGATAGATTATTATTCACGTTGATTTTGCCTTTTAAATTGCCACCTGACATCCTCAGGAATTTAAAGACCTGGTATAGATTATTTGTATAATGAAATTTAAATAGATTTATAAGGTTCTGTCCAATATTTAAAAGTTTTAAAATTCCTGCATTGACTGCAAATCCTCAGATTTTCAGTGCTGTCAGTGAGCTTAGGTAAAATACTAAAAGTAATGTAAACAAAAAAAGGGATCAGCCCATTAAAAAAAACTAAAAATGAAAATGACAAATTAAAAAAAATAACAAAAAACTGTATCTTGTTAATGAAATCTCTGTGGAGATATATATATATAAAAAAAATAATAATAAAAAAAAAAAAAATATATATATATGGCTAATATGGAAAAAAATAAAAATATACGTTCTTTCTATTCACCTAAATCTCAAGAACGATCCTTAACTAAAAGACCATCTCTGGGAGATCATAGAGAATCAGCTCCATTAATCCCATAATCCTTTTCGGCAACTCCCCAATATACTACACAACAAACATTTAATGAAGCTTTGGAAGCTCTATACCTGAAATTAAAACAAGATCTGGAAGATAATTCTAATATTTTAAAGCTGGAAATAGCTAATATATCCTCTATACTGCAAAATCAGGCAGATACTCTTCAGAAAATTCAAACATCTAATGAAGATTTAGCTTTAAAGTACAATCAATTGGACAAGAAGATTAAAGTATTGGAGATAAAGGTTACCGATTTGGAAGACAGATCTCGAAGGAATAATATAAAATTGAGAGGAGTTCCTGAAACTATTAACTATGATCAACTGGACCAACTTTTAAAATCTTTTTTTCAAAATCTTATTCCTGAAATGTCACTTGGAGAATTCCCATTTGAACGATACCACAGGCTACACAGACCAAAAAATTTGTCAGCAGATATACCTAGGGACATTATCGTCTGTTTGAATTTTGAATTTAATCATGCAGTCGGCACAGAAAAATGTTATAACAGATCCCCAATTTAAAGATATTAAGCTATACTCAGATCTATCTTTGACAACTCGGCAGGCAAGGAAAAAATTTGCCGTCCAGACCAGTATTTTGAGGAAACATGGAATTAAATATAAATGGAGTTTCCCCACAGCATTATCGGTATTTTTTCAAAATCAGCAATTTGTCTCGTTTGCCTAAGGAAAAAAAACAATTTTGAAATCTATAATAGATACTTCACTAAGTTGACCAAACCAACGACTATTCACCTGGTTCGAAATATGGTTAATAGCATGGACGTATTTATTTATTTTTTTCAAAGAAGTCTCGGTTGCCTAAGGAAAAAACCCAATTTTGAAATCTATAATAGATACCTCAGTTGACCAAACCAACAACTATTGACCTGGTTAGAAATATGGTTAATAGCATGGACGTATTTTTTTTTTTTTTTTGTTTAAACTTGGAACTTTTTCTGGTCATTACATTCATTTTTTGAACAAGACAATGAAAATCTACTTGGCAAGATTGAAGATCAACCTACTTTTCCAACTTATAATAATTAACTGTGTAGACGGATTAGATTAGCGAATGCCCAATGGGCAGAGTTACGGCTAATGACACGAATGTTATATATATGGATAAGGGTATCTAGCAATACTTGCAATTTAATTAATCTACACTATTTTCATATATGGTGTTTGACATGAGCTATGGTCTAAGGCAATGCTGGTTTTGCGTACTGTTGGTAGTTATGCAATTACGTCACAACATATGGGCATTGTACACTATTTCTTGTTAAGATGCCTTTCTTCCTTATTCTCCTCCGTTTTGGATATAATTAACCACATAGGATATCGGTAAACTCTATATATTATGTCTTTGATGGGTATTTGAGTATGGATTAGGCACATTAGGTATATATAAGAATGGTATAAAGCACATTTGCAATTTAGTGGATCTACACTTTTTTAAATATGGAGTTCGACATGAAGGAACTTTACACATATTTTTCACATATTTTGTATTAACACAAGCTTTGATCACAATAGGTATAACGTGATATTATTAGTACACTTTTCCAATTATGGAGTTTGACAGAAGGAATTTTACAGAGACTTTACATGTACTTTGTAGTAACACAAGTTTTGATCACAATAGTTATGATATGATATTATTTAGTATTAATAAGAATGGAAGTAAGCTATCCATACACGAGTAGTAATAAGTACAATTTCATAATATGTTTTTTTTTTTTTTCTCTTCACCTATGATAAAATTATGGTCTATTAGACATTACGTGGGTATTAATGGGGTGAATAAGGTTAGAGATCTTGGTAAAAGTAAGATAATATATAAGCGGTAAAGCTGATTTTGATTACAATAGGTAGGGGGAGCCGGACTATGGGGACATCGGGGAAATTTGGAGATAGAATGGTCAAGGGAGGGAAAAGGAGAGGGAGGGCTTGTATTATCATATTCAAGAGCTGGAGAGGCATGTTGAGCAGAGTTAGATTAGCAATTCGATGTAACATGGTTCTTTAGATTAGTGTGGTCCGATATCCTAGAGCTAGGAACTAATCGATCTACTGAACGTTATATTGTTAATCAAAGGTTGGATATTTGGAATATTGATTGGTTTTTGATGAGGTTTGGAGACCTTTCTCCTCTTGCCAGTGTCTTTATTTCTGCAATTGTATGCAGGTCTTGTTCAGGAGGTTATAAGTACATATGTCTCCTTATTGGACTACCAGGAAGGGATTTGTTTCCCTCCCTGGAATATGTTCCACATTTTATATTATATTTTGGAATTACAATGATTGAGGGAGGGGAGAGGAGATGGAGATTTGTACTATTATAAATAAGAATTGTAAAATATGTTAAGTAGAGTTAGATCAGTAATTCGCTGTGATATGGCCTTATGGGTTAGTGTGGTCCTATATTCTAGATAAAGTCAATAGATCTACGGATTGATATATGATTGATTACAGGCCCGGATATTTTGAATGCCGTTTCGTTTCTGAAGAGTTTGGAGGCCTTCCTCCTCTTGCCAGGGTCTTCATTCCTGCAATCATAGGTAGGTCTCAACAATATATGTCTCCCCACTGGATTACCAGGAGGGGGTTTGTTCCCCTTCCTGGAATATTTTTCATGTTTTATGTGTTTTATTATGTAAATGTGTATTTTTCTTTTCTTTTTTTTTCTTTTTTTTCTGAGACTCGACCTGGGGTGCAATCAGGACAATAGGTGCTATGACGGTACTTAATGTGGTAACATGGAATGTTCAGGGTTTGAATTCACCACAGAAAAGGGGAGCGGTCTATAAATTTCTAAATGAAAATGATATAGACATTGCCTTTATTCAGGAGACACATTGGATCAACTCTCCAGAGAGACTCTGGAAGTTTAAGAAATTCCCGTTAATATTTTGAATTAATTTTGAAATGATACATCTAACTGGGGACACAATGGGAAGATATGTGATACTCATTTCAAAAATTGATGGCATTATCTATACTTTGGTCAATATTTATGCACTAAATTCTTGCCCGAAAAGATTGATGAATTAGCATGTGGCAACATTATAATTGGGTGAGATTTTAATTGCGTTTTGGACCCAACACGGGACAAAAGTCATAAAAATACTAGAGATCACAAATCTGTAAATACCTATGTATCCTATTTTTTCGGAATTTCTAGACAGGAATTCTCAGCTTGATTGTTGGAGGACTTTGAATCCTAGTGAGAGAGTTTATATTTTTTGCTTTCATAGGTCCATCAGACCTGTTCTCGAATAGATATGTTTCTGGTGAAAGCCGGGTTTTTAAGATCAATTATTAAATCCAATATTGGATCTATAGTTGTGTCGGACCATGCACCAGTATTCATCAAGGTTAAGTTAAAAGGTGGTCTTAGATCAAAGACAAGATAGAGACTTAACAAAAGCCTTCTGAAATCAGAGTGTAACATTGATTTTTTTTTGTCATCTGAAATTGAAAACTTTTTGACTATTAATGATAATGGGGATGTCCCCACAGCAATGGTATGGTGTACCTTTAAAAGTTTTATAAGGGGATTATTTATTAATCTTGGTTCTGAATTTAAAAGGAAGAAGGGAGAATCTTTGCAAGAGTTAAGAATAAAATTGGCAAACAAGGAACGTTTAAATAAAAATATGGCAAACAAAGACTTAATTGAAGAAATAGCTAACTTAAGGGTAATTATCAAAGATAGAATTTATGATAAGGTCAATAAAAATATATTATTTCTTAAGCAAGGATGGTACCATAATAACAATAAAATAAATAAAGATCTTTCTAATAAAATCAAGAATAACCTTAAAGATAAATCTATAAAAAAAAAATCGTCCTGGGGATAAACATTTAACGTCACCAAATTACATTGCAAATGCTTTTGCGGAATTCTATAGATTCCTATATAATCTAGAGGAGGTAGGAAAGAGTAGAGAAGAAATGGATAAATTCTTGAGAAATCTTAAACTACCAAAAATTAATCAAAGGAAATTGGAAATGTTAAATGCCCCATTTTTATTATCAGAAGAACCAAAGCAATAGATAACCTAAAACTGAATAAGGCACCGGGCCCCGATGGTTTTTCAGCAATGTTCTATAAACATTTTCTAGATTTATTTCCCCTATCCTTATAAAGATGTTTATGAAGGTATCCGTGGATACCCCCTTCCCCAATGAGATGTCGTTGGCTTCAATTATTCCTATACCCAAAGTAGGGAAAGATCTAACACGTATTGCTAACTATAGACCTATATCTCTTATTAATTTAGATATGAAAATATTTTCTCAAATATTGTCTAATTGATTTAAAGAGGTAATTGGAGAATTGATTGATGTTGATCAGTCTGGATTTGTAAGAGGGAGAGGTACTACTAATAACACATGTAGGATATTTAACTTAATACATAGAATAAATGAGCATAAATGGGGATCTGTTATTATGGCCCTCGATGCTGAGAAGGCATTTGACAGAGTCAATTGGAGATTCCTTGACTCTGTCATGGTCCAGTTTGGCCTTGAGGGACAATTCAGATATAAAACTATGATATTATACAGGAGCTCTTCAGCCAAAATAGTTAAATCCTTTGTTGAGTCTGACCTCTTTGAGGTTAAAAACGGTACTAGACAGGGTTGCCCTTTGGTTCCCCTGTTATATATTCTTACAATTGAACCTTTGGCTACTTTGATCAGACATAATACTAATGTAAAGGGGGGCAAGTCTCTCAACGGGGAAATCAAGGTTTCCCTCTTTGCTGATGATGTCCTTCTTATCTTGACGGATCCGATGGTTTCAATTCCATCGGTATTGGATGCTATATCTATCTATAGCAGTTTTTCTAACTACAAGGTTAATATGAAAAAACGCAAATCTTAGCCTCTTTTCCATTTGAGGCTCAGAAAGATCTTCTGACTGCACGCTTCTACTTTTTATGGGCAAAGGATACTATTGGCTACTTGGGGATTAAAATATCTTTTGATATTGACAGAATGATACAAACGAACTATGACAGTCTATTAAAAGATTTGCAACAACAGGTAGACAAATGGAGGAAGATTGAGTCTTCATGGATAGGTAGATTAAATGTGATCAAGGCATTCCTGATACCTAAACTTGTATACTATCTTAGGGCAATTCCTTATAGAGTGGGGAAAGGTATTCTTAACCACTTTCAAAATCTGATTTCTAAATATATTTGGGCAAATAAACCACCTAGGATAGCGTTTGATATTCTCCGAAGGAGTTATCAGAAGGGAGGAATAGCATTTCCAGATGTTGATAAAATCCATGAAGCATGTATGGTGACTCTCCTTTTACATCATGGCTCACTCTAGAACAGGAGGATAGCCCCAGATATAAATTGTCTGTTCTTTTTTGGATGGGCATTTTGAAACTAGGTGAATTGGACACCAAGTATTTTTCCAATTGAATATTGATAGATTTGATTAATACCTTTAAAAATCTTAAATACAAAATTGAAATTGGAAGACAAATTACTATATAGGGTTCCATTAGTGGTCCTACAACACGCAATGGATAATATAAATGTTCAACCCTGGATACACCTAGGCATATTGAAGATCTCTGATTTATTGGATGGATTTAAACCCATCCCATTTATACAAATGTAAGTAAAATATAATCTTCCCTTCAGAGACCTTTTTCAATATCTAAGGATTAAAATGTTTCTATTATCTAGAATTATACTCAAGGACCATAATGTTAATCCTCTTATTGTACTATATAAAAAGAAGGGAGGGATTTCTAGATTTATTAAATTGCTAGAATCAATGGAACAAGACTCCCATGCTACCTCCTTTACTAAATGGGAACGAGATATTGGGGAATCTTTCCCACTTCTGGAATGGACTAAAGCTACACTCCTAGTTAAGCGCTGTATACATAGTGTCTCTCTCTACGAAACACATCTAAAGATAATATATAGGTGGTATATGGTACCGGCTAGACTCTATAAAATATCATCTTTATATTCTAGGAATTGTTGGAGATGTGGAAATGAGGAGGGCACTATTTACCATATATGGTGGGAATGTCAGGGACTTAATAACGTAAAAATCCAAATGCTTGGTCTTGTTAACTCTATTTTCAAGGAGATAAAAGAAATTAGCCCTCAACTTTTCCTTTTTAATATTGGTTTTCCTTCGCAAGATAAATATCAAAAATATCTTCTGACCCATATTTTTTTTGCCATTAAAATATGCATAGCTAGGGCTTGGAAATCTTCAACCCATTATCATGGCATAATATTATGGAGCAAATAGACTATCAGCACAGGATGGAATCAAACCCCTTCTTTGGCACTAGGAATTTGGTCAAACTATGGTTACCCTGGACAAATAGACACTATATAAGACAACAAAGACTGTGATCCTCTTGTAGCCCCATGTCGAGCCTCAGGAATTTAATTTATTCTCATTATATATATTTTTTTTTTATTGGTAAATTGATTATGTTTATCAATGTAACAGTAATACTGTGGAAAATCTTTGGTATGAGCTTTTTAATAATGATTGGTTATCAAATAAATATAGTATGATTGTAAGATATATCGTATATACATATCTGATGGTTTTCACTGAATATTGTATTCTATATAGAAACTTTCGGTATTTAATGCTATATAATACCTCTATTGTTATATATTACCACTATGTCTTTGTTTAAAGCAGTTATATTGATGTATTTGTTTTTCTTTTTGTTTTGTTCTTCTTTTCTTCTTTAAGTCAAATGCTATAAATTGAATAAATAAATAAATTTTTAAAAAAGTTAAATATATAGATATACACATAAAATATGAAATCAGGTAAATCAGTTACAGGTTCTTATGTAAATAGTCCAAAAATCTTTAAATGTAAAGAGCATCCAGAGTGATCCTAATACAGGTCGTGGAAGGAGGAGTGTCGTTGTACCCTAAAAAAGAGCACAAAAACAAGTGCCCCAGAAACAGCATGTAACAGCTTCTCAACCTACTGGATTGTCTCCTATATTGTGTTATGTGCTGATTCTGCAATCCCATTCTGTAAGTGACCTACGATAGGGGGGAGTTTTTTTACTGTACTATTATATGTACATAAACTTCACTGCACCAGAGAGTTTATCCTTCGGCTCTTTTTTAGGGTTATCCACTTGACCAAAAAAAGGGGAGTATCTGTGTTGCTGGAACAGGTACATAAACCAACATCCTCTGTGCCGCTTGTTATGGGGAAGAAAGAAGCAACCAGCCACTAGGCAGCTTACTGCAGGTATAAGACTATATCCTAGTGAGAATGACAAAATGCCAACCCCTATCAAAGTGCCCCCTGGATCTAAAGAAGCAACCGGATATCTTGAAGGGTCAACTCTGTCCAAGATTATTATAATATTATAATCTAACAGTGTTTGATCCAATCACCTTGTTAAACTTTTCTATGCGTATATCTTTACTATATCATTCTAGACAGATCTATATCATTTCTACAGATTGTGCAAGAATTGTTAACCATAAGAGTGTTTGAGAAGACACTTCATCAATCACAGACAATTGTTGTCAAGTATATACCCTGATATTATAACTTACGGCTTATGGGGTCAGAAGGAGGTTTGATGGAAGAGAGGTTAGAGTGCAGAATTTGATGGGAAAGAACAACAAGTGGAAGCATATTGATTGAGTTATTATTATTAGTATTTTTATTATTGTTATTATGTTATAATCCAATATATATTTTCAATTTGTTTATGAAGTCTTCAATGTGACACATTCTTCTTCTTCTTCTGAGTCATATCATGAGCAACATGAATTTACACGTGTATAAATTGCAGTTGTTTGAAATGCTCAACAAAATTACTAGTAGTCAGAAATTGGGTGTTGCCAAAGACAACTCCTCATGTCACAACAAAATCCATAAATTACCTGGTTTTACTCTTGTGAAATAAGATTTTGATGTTTAACATTTGTATTTGGCGGCTGTCCAATTCCGACAGTGTGCTGTGAGGCTAGGCCTGTTGAAACGACGTAGTGATGATTTGTGTAACCTTACCGTGCTATGTTCTTAGATAACATGGACGACACTTAAAACCATGAGATGTCATCAACAGAGGGAAAAGGCAGAAGAATATAGGTGACATTACAAGATGCAAGGCACATAGTAACAAAACAAAAGAGCATTTATAAGAGCTTGAAGTGGCAGGGGCAAACAGAATGGAGGAGAAGAAACAGACAGAAAGAAACAAACAAACAGAAGGGATAAGAGAATATGGCTTAATCAATGAGAGGGAAAATATAGGAAAATAACCTCTGGCCCTGAGGAGACAAGCAAGAGAAGTCATCTAACCTCAGTCAGCCAACATAGTTCCACCCCAGGGTTTATTGAAGCTGTGGTCATTAATCCCTTCTCGGTGTTCTGTGAACATCTATAAATCAGGAAATCAGGGTGAACAGCACCCCTCAATTGCATTATTTCCCATAATACTCAGTTCACCATTTGGTATCTTTTATATAACTGGGCTCGTCCATTTACACTTTCATCGAAATAGTGAGGTTATCATTAGCATAGTGAATTCATCAAAATTGGACTGGAATAGAGCATGGCTGACAGTTGCTAGGCGCATTAAATGCCTAAATTTAGTGGAACTATATTTTAGGATCATTAACAGACTCTATTTGGTTCCTAGCCGTCTAAATAAAATAGACCAGAGCAAAACAGATATATTCTGGAGATGTGAAGGGGGAGTGGGAGATTGTGTACATATTTGGTGGAGCTGCCCCCCACTTAAAGAATTTTGGAAAGTGTTGTTGTCTAAAATGGAAATGGTAACCAGATTTAATTTTCCCCTTGCCCCGGAAATGCTTATATTACACTTAAATATTTATCAGTATAATGTAGATTTGCAACATTTTTTTACCCACGCATTAGTAGCAGCAAAGATTTCCATAGCTAAAAGGTGGAGAACTAAAACTCTACCAAACTGGGACATAGTAACAAAATCTACTAATTTCGCAATTTAGGATGGAGGGAGGTTTGAACAGAAATCTGAAGAAAAAAAATCTATTTCACATAAATAAGTGGTTAAAAAAACTGTTGGCAGTAGATGAATATACATAGAAGAGAAAGGGAAGAAAAAGGGAAGAGAGCGGAGAAAAAGGGGAAAAGGAAAGAAAGGGCAGGGAGGAAGAGGAAAGAAGAAGGAAAAAGGGAAGAAAAAGGGAAGGTAAAGAAAGAAAAAAAAGGAGGGAAGGAAAAGAAGAGAAAAAAAATGGAAAAGAAAAGAGAAATGCTAGCTCATATATTAGTACTTTGAATAGCAATGCAGAGAGACTAAGGAAGAGGGTTTCATCATCATGTATGAATGTTGTGTATGTCTGTTCTATGTTTTAGTTTTCTCTTTGTTAATTAATAATAATGTTTTTTATAAATTAAAGTCATTTAAACAGGAAAAAGAGAAGAGAGAAAACATTGATGATGACTAATACACCAATGCCTGAGATGCAAAGCTGGAAAGAATATAAGAGGCTGGTAATGTCTGAAATGAAAAAAAAAAAATACAAAAAAAAAATTCAGCATCTGACACATTGGAAGCCAGATATTTTTGAATAATTCACCTCAATCACCAGGTTGGGTATATTGGTAATTAAAGTGGGTTCCATGTGCTATTAATACAACACGAAGAGACCTTTTGTGTTTGATTACTTTAGAGGTCTCCAAAATATTTCTAGGTGTGTCCTGTTTACAATGACTGACATTTACAAATCTCCAGTGATTTATTGCCAAAACACCCACGGCTGCTCCGTGGTACTCCCTAATGCACAGTGAATAATGTAATCATCACCGCATTTCTCCCCCTAAGTGAACAGAGGCTGTGAGATCTTTGTTAACTTGGTTGATTTTGAACACTTAAACCCAGGAATCAAATACTAACTCCCATCATATGACTTATTAAGCTAAATGAATTCTGCATATTTACCACATTTTTTTACCTTGAAAACATAAAATCAATGCTTCAATAATTTAGGGAAAGTTACATGTCTGGATGTATAATAAACCATTGTCTTTTTTTTTATTGTTATTATTTGTGTTTAATTAAAACCCATAAAAATGACTAATTGTGTACAAACCTTCAGGTGCTTTCTAAAAGTGAAACTGAATATATGGTCATGTGGTAAGTGGGGGAACCCTAACCGGTCAGGGGTTTATCAATTATTAATTATCAATCGTACAGTCCTGCGGAATTTGCTGGCGCTATATAAATAATAAAATAATAATAATCAATAGCAGAATGCCAATATACGCACGCTACCATATATGGTGCAGCTGCTGCTAGTAGTGTTGTAAATGTTTTAGTGAGTGTGATTTGTTTTCTGATATTTTTAATATACTATGTTAATTAAATAGAATTTCAAAAATACAAAAGGTGTAAATATAAACATTTGAAAATGAAATAGTCACAGCAATAATACAGCATTATTCAGCTCATGTATTTCAAGTGGAAATGTGTGTATATATATATATCTATATATATGAAAAGTGGACAGTATGAGAAAAAAGAGAAAAAGAGAAAAAAATTAAGCAGAGAATCTGACAGCCAGATATCTCAAATGTTCTAACAGTGTTGGAAATGTCACATACATCAAATCCGTTCCAAGCAATATCCTCCATTTTCACAGAAACTCCAGCGAGATCTGAGGTACTGAGGGCAGCTTTGAAGACATTAAAGTACTGTAGTGGACTCTGGATAACCTGACCAGTTACCTCCGCTATGGCCTTCCTTCCGCCGTTCTGGAACCACTTAGAATGCAAAGAGACCCACTTTCCCTCCAGTAACTGGACAAGACCTAGTTCTGGAGGTACAACACAATTGTATTATGCCACACTCCGCTTTTATGCAGAGCCCCATGCAAGGGGTTTCTGACACATACATACAGGGTCACATCCCAGACTCCTCCCTGTAGTTACGAATATCCATTTTGCTTAATATCCTAGCTGTTCATATAAGGGTTAATGTGAACCAAGAATAAATTTGGACTTGTATCTCCGATTCTCGGAAGAATCTATCTAATATTAGTTACGAGAATGACCATACTGATTTCGAAATGTTCTTGTTAATTGTCCAAGATTTTGGTATTTGTAAATATCTTGTTTTGATCAAATATATATGCGTTATATAACGTAGAATTATAATAAGAAACAGCTGCTCATAACTTGTGAAAAACAATGTAATTGCCACGCCCATATGCTCATTTTCCCCCCTCCCATCCTGCTATGAAAACGGGGTATTAATATAACTGACGAATGAATACAATTTGAATTGGTTATTGAACATGTCTCTGCTATTCATTTCCAATTTCCAGAGCTCTGAATGAGTTGACAAATATCCATCATCCACAAAGGGCCCGGGCTGATTTTATCCCCAACACTCCCCTTCTCTGGGGTCCCGGCGTGGGAAAAATACTTTGTTCTCTTTGTCCCCAAAGCCCGCAACCAAATACAGTGTTTCCCACACCTTCTTCTCAGGAGCCTCTGGGCCTGGGAGCCAAAGCATGGGAAAAGAGATCGTCCCTTTGTCTTCCGGGAACAAAAAAGCCCGCCAAACTAGCCAGGCCCCCAAAGTGCCCACACCAACCGCAGGGACCCTCACAATGGCCCCTGTCACGAACCATCTACGTTCGCGGGACCCCTGTGTGGAAACCAGGCAAGGGAAGCATCTCCTTTCAGGATACGAATGCTCCCCCTGGGTGCCATTCGTCTATACAAATGAGCAGCCACCCAGGGAAGAACTCATTAATTACTTCCCTTGCGGTTTCCCACTTATGTTGTTAGTGCGAACGTTCAATTTGATTGGTGTAAATGTTATAATGGGGCGCTGGGGAGGTCGTCGTTCAGGAAACAAATGGGTCGGAAAGTGATCCACGAAGGCTCCTCCTGGATGGGGTTCATCTATACGAATTGGCAGCCGCCAAGGGGGAAGCATGCGCCGATGGCTTGCCTTGCGGTTTTGGCACTACGTCAAGGTGATTAACGTTCTAACTAGGGTTCTAAATGCGATGTTGGGGTGGTCCCCGTTCGGGAGACGGATGAGCTCCTCTCACATGAACACTCCCGAACGGGGAGCAGGGTACAATAGGCAAAATACAGGGAGGACATACATATTACAAGCAGGGAATACACAAACAGACCGTGGGTCTGCCACAAGTACCATTCATCACAGTTCCTTGGAAGAGACACATGAGCTGCTTGTCCCCTTAGCCCTGTGCCACTCTGTCCCCTTAACACACTCAGAGCATTAGGCCAACAGAGGGACAAGGGGTTAGAGGCTTAATCTCCTGTCACTTTGTCCCCTTAGACATGTCTCACTCTGTCCTCCTAAACCCCTGTCACTCAAGCCCTTTGTCACTCTGTTACTCTAATCCCCTGTCTCCCTAGCTTTTTGTCTCTCTGCCTCCCTGTCTCTCTTTCTCATTATCACTCTGTCCAACTAACCCTGTTGTCATCCTATCTGCCTAATCTAATATCGAGCCCTGTTGTGTCACTACCCCTCTTATGCCCTGTCCTCCTAGCCCTGTTGACATTCAAACAGCCTAATATCCTGTCCCCAGGGAACTAAAGTGGGGTGGAGGGACACCACCCTAAAATCAGGCTGTCACTCTGAAAGCAGGACAGTTGGGAGGCATGTTTAAACATGTCTTTATTCATGCATGGAAAACAGATGTGTTGACAAATTCTTCAACTCAACTATGTCTGGCCTAAATTTGCAATTTCTTAGACATTACCTAACCATTCTTGGTTTAATTAATACAAATTGATAGATTTATATATAGATTCACAATGGCACCCTTATCAGGTCTTTTATTAGAGAAAAACTACTTAACTATTTTTACTGGTATTTACAGAAATATGTTTTTAAATTTGGTTTCAGTTAAAGCCATATCTGTGGCACCTCTAGAATTCCTTCTTCTTACATCAATTTGGCTATACAATCTAAAACATAATGAATATTTTGATAGTTGCACTGATAAAAAAACAATGAAAGAAAACAATGACAACTTGAATGTGCAGTAAGAATTTATTTGTATGATGTTATTCCTTGAAATAAAATGATTTGTCTGCTATTGAATCGATTGTAAAATTTGTGTTAAATTTTCAGTTCACATTTTCAGTTAAATCTGTAAAAAGAAAGAGAGACTATTTATTAATACATAGAAGGCCTGTAAAATGATTCACTTTTTTCAAGTTATCAACTGTTTTTACAAATTATAGAAAAATTGAAATAGGAACAATATGTAAGAACAATCCTGTGTATAATTCAATAAAATTGTGATATCAACGTATCATGATAAGGATATAAATGTCTGCATCATCCCAGTACAGGTAGAAATATTCTACTTTTAAGTGCCAAAGCTGAAACTCACTGAAGCCTAGAATAATTCATATATTGCATGAAGCATTAACCTCGATATGAGTGCATATATGCAATGTCAGAATGACACACAGGAGATCACAAAATGTCACGTCATTGGCGGATATAGCTTTTGATTTATATTATTTACCACTCGAGTTAGTATAATAGTATTGATCAAGCCTACTGCTTTTAGTAAAATATTTTAGCAACTCGCTTTTGAATATAAACTTTTCAAGGGGGTATAAATACAAATGTAAGTTTCATAGGCAGTGCTTTGAAAGAATAGAGATATTCAAACATGCTACTGTGAGACGCCTATTTAATTAGCATTTTTATAAAAGTAATGCAGTTCAAGAGGCTGAACAATGAGCAGAATAAGACTAAATGAAAATTATATGGTACACATAGGTGAATATTTTTTTTCCTAGTTTAACATTTTTCCTCTCTTACGTAGGTGCCAATTTTCCCACTACTCATAAGCAATCTTGCAGTTTTTTGGTTATGCAACTTTGGTGTTACCAACCCTTGTAAATGGATGTATAAACTAGTAAAAGGTAGGATTTAAATCCCTGATAACACAGCACTGTCATAAGGTCTTAAGCTTATACGTTTTACAGACAATAAAAATTCACATTTAATTAAGTTTATATAAAAGACGTCATATAGAGAAATTGACCTTTGATTTTTACATTTAGGAAACTCACTTATTTTCTACCTTTGTTAGTGCAATAAATCTATAGCCATGACGTTGACGTCTCTTCTTATCTAATTCAAATTCTATCTGTACTTCTCATTTCGTTTCTGATTAGCTCGTCATTTTATTTTATCAGAAAACAGCCATTGTTAAAATGCATTGCTTGCATTGGATTTAAGAAATAAATGTCGGAAAAAAATATACAATAGAAAAATGTATTCTCTAGTATGGCAGACCTTATCGATTATATTATATCCTTTAGTTTATTAACCTTCTAATTTGTCCACAGCTGATCCTTCTTAGATTGTCACTGTTCAGCCATTGAGTTGATGGTTCTGTATGGGCAAACACTTTGTGTTTGTAATTCGTTTAGATCTATCTATTAATTTGCACCTTTACTAATTATTTTTTTAGTATAGAGTATAAATAATGATTTTTCTATATATTAAACGCACGCTTGCTATCAGTGTATGAAGGTCCATTGAAACAGCCTTCAATTTGTCAGACTCATCTAATCTAGCGTTGTCTTGTACACTATTTTTAATGATCTTTTTTGTTAATATGTGTACATTGTAAGATAGTTTGTGCATTGCCCTAATTGCACAGTTGTACCCACCAATAATCTATGTTACAACTCTTTATAATCTTAAGTGCCATAATCAGCGAGAAACCATTTACCTTATTTGTCGCCATGAGACCCTTGACCCTGACAATGGTGTCCAGCATTTGAGCCTGTAAAAAATGTAATAAAGTCAGTAAATGTTAGCAGTTGTCCTGACATTCTGATATCAGCTAGGTGTCAGCTGAAAGGCTCAGACCACGAATGGCAGCAAAATAGGAATGGAATTGATATTAATTGTGGAAGAAGAAAAAAAAAATAACGAAAGCAGGTTGTGAAATTACTCACTCAAAAATATACAGGACTATATATATTTCTAGCATAGGGATGTCCAGGTGCCAAATTACAAAGATAACAAAGAGAAACAAATGTGTCATAAAGAAAGAAGTGCTATCCTCAAGTAAAATGAAGAAAAAACAACTCCCAGCAGCCCAGAGGGGTGTTTTTATCATTCAGTTGCAAGATGAGACTATGCTAGACAAAGATGGTATGTAGACCTACAGAGACTGGGAGATCAAGGTGCGTAACTAGATATGGAGAGGTGGTGACACTGCTTTCATTTAGACAGAGTTTGAAAGATTATCTAAGACCTTTAGCGTTGTCTAGGCCAGTGTTCTCCAACCTAGTCCTCATGGACCACAAACAGTCCAGGATTAATGTATTTCCCTATTTTATTCCAATGGAGATACTGACAAAACCTGGACTGTTGGTGGTCCATGAGGACTGGGATGGACAACACTGGTCTAGGCAGTATTCGTATTTGAGCTATCCTTAGCATTACAGACAGAGCATTAATATTATGTCTTCTGCTTTTTCTACTGTCTATTGAATTAACTCTACAATCCTCTCATGTCTTATAGGTGAGAGTTAAGCTTCTCAGCACCCTCAGTACAACTTTATAAATAATAATTTTGTATCTATGCGTGTAAATTAAACTTAGATCTCATTTCTATCCTCTAATGGCTTATCAGAGGTTGTTACCTAATATTGTATAAGTTGATTACAAATTAGATTTATTTGTTAGTTTTGACCAGGAAGGCCACCTTGTGGTCATGGGTAACGTCACAACCTTATTTTTTAAAAATAATAAAATAATAATAATAAATTGTATGCATATACTTGGAAAGCAGTATGAATGAGTTTTCTGAGAGAATATTTTTCAATATTTTGGCAGAGATTAGCTTCTTGAATATGAGTATTTCATTGCACATCCTATTCTTTTTTTTTTTTCCGTTGTGTGTTGCTTTAAATGTGCACTTTGGGTTATGCCCAATGCTGCCAGTTGGGTGAGGTAGTCGCATTTCATTTTTAAAGGTCTACAATAACATGGAAGTGGAACATTCAAAATTAACAATTCCCACAAGCCTGTGTTAGACCTAAGAGCACTATAATCCATACAAAGACATGTAGTGATTATGTTGCGTAAACTAACTAAATAAGTTATTGGAGTTAGATAAAAACACACATATATATACACACAATTGTTTGTCTTGATGTTATTGATATGTTCTCATTAAAACATTATTTCACTTATTTAAAAATATATCTGCACACTCTGTATTGTTTGCTCATTAAAATACAAAGAAATAATGAATCCTGTCTCTAGAAGTTCACTTCTATCAGCTTGAACTCACTTATTACAAATCCTGTTATGTATATAGATATTAAACTATTTTGAGAAGATTATTTATTCACTTCTTAATGTTTTTTATTGCTTTTTATTATTTGTATGATTAAGTTTTTATTTTTATTTTACTGTTATTGATAAGAATATGTATAGAATTACTTGGAAGAATCTATGCGCTTTATTCGTTTTTTATTTAATTATATGTTTTTCATCATCATTATTATTATTTTTTTCATATATATATATATTTTTCAATTTTTTTATTTTATTCAATTATTTGTAACTAAGTGTTTACTTTATGGCAATTAAGATCATGATACATGTTCTTTCTATCTTTCTTTATTTTTTATCTATGTATGGCACGATGGACACTTTGTGATCCTTTTGAGTTGACAAGCTTAGTACCCAATTTGGAACGCTCTTTTGTTGAAACACAAGCGTTCACCTTCCGGTCTCCCTTTGGAACGCAGATAGACTCAGTGGAACGCTCACATGACCGCTAATGTGGTCAGAAACTAGGCTTGGAATACACACTGAAGAAAATAAGCGTCAGCTGTATTCCCCCTATACGGATGAGCTGATGGCATCCAGAGGAGGGGCTTAATGGATTTAAATACCGAGCCGGGCGGCAAAGAGATTCTACACAGGAGACCTATCTTCATTTTACCCCTGAGGAAGTCTGAATAGTCAGACGAAATGCGTAGGGTTGGGACTTTATGTAGGAGAGTATTTTGTTTTTATTTTCTGTTTTATTTGTGTTATTTAATACATTTTTTAAGCTACAAGGATTTCTTGCTTATTTACATTTGAATGTTCTGGCGGACTTCATCTGAACTCCTTGGCAACCTGTGATATGATATGCCTATATACCTCTCCAATCTTGTAAGTGTTTTATCATTTAGTGCTTCACCAGGTCGATAACAGTCTGCAATTATCATCTTATTTTCTTCTCTCCTATATGCCCTTATACATGGGGAAGATCGCTAATCAACCTTATTATTGATGTGCCTTCAATCAACTTTTTTGTTGTGAGTGTAACTTTTAACACCACTTTTAGTATTCACTTAAGATAGTACACTATGATGTTTGTTTTTTTCTTCCTACTATAGAACCTATATTTTATGCATGAACTCAGTCCTTACCTTGACCATGGTGACCCTCTTGGCCATGACCTCCATGATGACCCTGTTGTCCACTTTGGCCATGACTTCCATGATGACCCTGTTGTCCACTTTGGCCAAGACCTCCATGATGACCTTGTTGTCCTTGTTGGCTTTGATTGCCTTGTCCTCCATGGTGGCTCTGCTGGCCCTGACCTCCATGATGACCTTGTTGTCCCTCTTGGCCATGACCTCCATGATGACCCTGTTGTTCTTGACCTCCGTGGTGACCCTGTTGCCCTTGTTGGCATTGTTGGCTCTGTTGGCCTTGACCTCCTTTAACTCCAGTCATGGTAAGATATGGTTTTGTGTAGACTACTTCAGGTATGAAGTCTAATATGCTGTATGTTTGCTCCGAGATCCGGCTTTTATATTCCAGGGGTAGAATTTATTGCTTTGGGATGGTAGATACAATATTCGAAATTCACTCTGACTCATCAACATTTTAAATTGATTCATATTATTACTGCTATGGATTGCTGTATATGTAAACTGATTTTTACAAGATAATAAATATGAAAAATCGTGCATCAATATAGCGTCTTACCATCAAAGAGTTTATTCATGAATCACAATATAAAGCTGCATGACAGTACATAGTATTGTGATGACCCAGCTTATTAATAATGATTGATTTTCTACATACGCCTTAAATATTTTAAATCAAGAATTAGACGAGCTTCATGCTTTTGTAGTTGAGGAAGTCATGATGAAAACATGGGTTGGTCCCATTTATAATGAAACTGTCATCTAGAGAATGATGGAATGGTGAATGACATATAGCTCTCCTAATATTTTGTTCATGTAATAGATTTTTGCCAGACCACTATATGTGTAAGAAATGCCATTCTTTTTAAACAATTTAATTTTGTTATATAGTTAAATAAATGGGTAAAAACACAAATACCTCCAGGCTTATCTGTCACCTACCTATATAAGTTGTATTTAAACTATATCACAGAATTCTATACTCATGGCTAAGCATGGCCACATAAGCCATCTTGTAATTCTACGTTCTCTATATATTAAGAAAAAAATAAAATAAAAATAAAAGATGCACTCATACATCTAAATCCAAGCTCATGGTCATTAACCCCATTAAGGACCACAGTCAGGACCCTAAATGCCCTTCTTCTTTTCCATCTCTTGCTAAATGATTGCGAAATTCCATTTTGATATAGAATCATTTAAAGGGACACTAAGCACCAGAAGCACTACAGCTTTATGTAGCAGTTATGGTACTTAGAGTCTGTCCCTGCAGGCTGAAATTGTAAACACTGCCTTTTCTGAAAAGGCATCGAGGCATCGCTTACATTTGTGCCTAAGGAACCTCTAGTGAAGTCACTCAACCACTGCTCAGCCTACTCTAAAGGATTTTCATCTTTATTACATTAATAAATTTCAGGTAAGAGACGTGAGAGAATGGCCAGGTTCTCAAGTCCGATTGTAGCAATAGGAGGAAATTGCTTTGGTAAAGGCCATCCAACAATGAAGTGACCTAAACACCTAAGTATTTTAACTGCAACGTGCACCATTTAAATGGGAATGATGATTGGAGCCGAGCAGACGGACATGTTTTGTATTTCAGATTGATGAGTATTTAGCTTAATATTCTAGTGGGACCCATGGGTGTCAAACTCCTTATGAAGGCTTGGAAGTGTTAAGGCTGGTCTCTCAATGAAGAAGAGTATAGTGTCTGCACACACTGCAACTTCATGCTCCACACACTGAATATGAACACTAGAAGTCAGGCATACATGCAGTGATCTGATAAGCATTGTCACCTTATGGCTGGCATCCATCCTCTCCAGAACAATGTCAGTCAAACGCTGTTTCAGAATATGTGGATAGTATTAGCGTGTGTTGAAGGCAGACACAATGCATAATATTAAAGGAACACTATATTTACAAAAAATAACTTTAGCTTAATAAAGCAGTTTGTTGTTTTACTCATGACTCAGAAGTCTCACTGCTCAATTCTCTGACATTTAGGAGTTAAAGGGAGACTATACTCACCACAACAACTACAGCTTATTGTAGTAGTTCTGGTGAGAATAGTCAGTCTCTGCAGGCTTTTTGCAGTAAACACTGATTTTTTTTCAGAGAAAATACAGTGTTTACATTACAGCCTAGTGATAACTTCACTGGCCACTCCTCAGATAGCTGCTAGAGGTGCTTCCTGGGACAGTGCTGCACAATGACATTTAGTGAATTCATCCTCTGCATTGAGACACTGAACTTTCCTCTTAGTGATGCATTGATTCAATGCATTTCTATGAGGAGATACTGATTGGCCAGGGTGGTGTTTGGCTCTGCCCCTTACCCCATCAGATGTTAACTTACTTTAAAAGTTTGTATCTCCAGCTCTGTAAGTTGAACTTTAATCACATACATGGAGCTCCTGCAAAGTCAAGCAAGCTATTTACAGTGCAGGATATACGTAATTCTAAATTAAACAGAATGTGCAATAAAAGAAGGGTAAATATTGTATCTCACTTTACAGGAAGTGTTTAAGAAGGTTGGTGTGACTAGGGATACATTAACAAAGTGATGTATCCCCTAAATAGAAGATAATGGAGCAGTGAGACTGCAGTAGCATTATCCATACACCAGAAACTGCTTCATTAAGCTAAAGTTATTTTGGTGATCATGGTGTCCCTTTAAATAGTCTCAGTGTTATCCTTTGCTTTTTTCCCTTAACTTATCCAGGGGGACTATATGAGCATTTTGATGTTTCATCTTCTGTACAAGAAGCTTGGTAAAGAGCTTCATGTTCTTGTTCAGGAGACACGTGGGCCTATAACTTGAGCACATGTCCTTACCCACTATTGGGTGGACTATAAAGTGTGCGGTTAAGATGTCTCTTAAAGTGGAGTTTAATAAAAATATGAGGTTAAAACAGGTGGGCAAATCTTTGTACAAACCTAGATGAAAGCAGTCAACGCCTGTGGCCTGAGTGGGACTGAGAGCGCCTTGTATTATACTGTAGATGTGGACCAGCACTATTTGTTTCTGTAACATTAGGACACAAAGGCGACCCCTTTTGTTAGAGGACTACATATAAGTTAATAAATCTTTTTAGTAAATCTCTTGGCTTACCCTTGCTATGTGGACATCCAAATTTAAACCTCCTTGGGCAGAAACATCTCTTCTCTGGGTACAATTTTAAAGGAACACTATAGACTTGGGAATACAAAGCTGTTATTAGGCAGGCAGGCTTAATGTTGTGGCTGATCAGTGTATACTTTTTGAATACAAAGTTAGAGAGAAAAAATACAATTGTTTTCCAGATGGCAAATTCATTGTTAACTAGGTCATTATTCTTTATTTGAGATATATACTGGAATATATATATATAGTCTCAAAAAGCATTACAATAAATAATGTGAGAATATAAGCTAAACGATTATAAAGCAATTGTGTAGGCTTTTGGCTGCATAATGTTTTCCTCTTGATCTGCTCTCACCTACAGATGTATTAAGATCTTTACGTTTGTTTTCTTTACATTTACTTTCTTACATGTGCTTTAGAATATCTGAAAAGAACACTTTTGTTTTAGGAATACAAAGATGTATTCCTAACACTAAAATGTCCCGCAACCTGGTAGACTGTTTCTTTAAAACTGCAATGCTTGACATTGCAGGGCTAAGGGGCTCAGGGACAGTGCACCTAGACCACTTGAATGAGATGAAGCTGCCTGGGTGCCTATAGTATCCCTTTAAGAATACTTTGATAAATCATTCCCAGTTAGGCAATCATATTTGAGGATACCGTCATGTGCCATTTTATGGTGATTAATAATCTAATTGCAGGTAAGAAATGAAAATACAGGACATATTGATGAAGTATTTTTTCATAATTATTGTGTTATGATGTGTAAATAATATCATGTTGCTCATATAATGATCCACTAGGATAATAATATTAATTAACTGTAATTCATATTAGTAATATAATAATATGAATTAACAAACAGTTGATGAATCAGAGTGAATTTTGCCAACAGAACATTTCTTCTAAATTCCACAAATTCTGTCTTTGTTATAAAAGTGAGCTTGTTGGAATAGAGTTGACATACAGAACATTAGACTTCTTTCCTTCCTGACGTGTTCTACACAAAACTAAATCCTATAATGACTGGAGTTAAAGGAGGTCATGGCCAACAGAGCCAACAATGCCAGCAAGGGCAGCAGGGTCCTTATGGAGGTAACGGCCAGCAGAACCTCCATGGAGGATATGTCAATCAAAGCCAACAGTACCAGCAAGGGCAACAGTGTCATCACGGAGGACAACATGGACAACAAGGACAACATGGGCAGCATGGCAGCCATGGACCTCAGAATCTATCCCAGTGCAACAATCCCTGCCAAGATCCTTGTCAACAGCAGCAAGGTGGACATCAAGGTGGTAGGTTCTAGGCTAACGCTGATACGAAAGTGAACTTCTAGATATTAGATTCAGCATCACCTTGGGTCCTTACAAATAATAATACAGATTGAACAAATATAGTGGTAAACTAATGTTTAAATGAAAACATTTCAATATTTGCAAGCTCCAATAATGATCAGTGTATTTTGCAGTATTTCTCCAAACACTATTTTATTATTTAATCTATTGAAGTTACACATTTTATTTTTAAATTGAGCTTTTCTCGTAATAATATCACATTTGTTAAATAAATAGCACCTTTGTATAGAACATAAGTAGCATAAAGTAATCTGATTTCCAAGCACAAATGGCAAGATACTGTTATATATGCTTTATATGTTTACTGACTTTATTATATTTTTACAGGATGGAACGCTGGGCAACAATGTCAGGACCAGGGGTCTTATGGCCAGAAATAAGGTAAATATATCATTACTGACTAAGGCTTTCAGGATTATAACAATTCTAACACAGCTAAAGTTACAATAGATTCCTGTTAAAGTATACATAGGGAATACAGCTATATGTTATAACTCCATCTTCACCTGACGGGTCCTCTTTGGTGCTGACGTCACTGCAGTACTTTTCCATTTGCACGAGAGGCACAGCCAATTCCCTGCAGCTGTCACTGATGACGACTGCAGAGATTGACTCTGTAACTTCGCCTTGAGTCAAAAAAAGTCAGGTGGAGGAGAAATACAGAGACAAAGTAGTCCCAACTGTGTCTGTATGCCTCTTGACTGGGATGGAATTTCAGACCAACACCAAACCAAAAATAAACTTTTGATTTAATTTCCTCTTTTGTGCTTGCCACAGAAATAGTTATTACATCTATGAATTTGTTGCAATATTTCAATTCCATACATATGTCACTCTTCCTACTTATGACCTAAATTATCGGACTTCACAATTCCTTCCAAACAGCTTAAGTTGGGCTAGCCATATTTATACTCTGTTTGTAGGTTTTGCTTTCACCACTCTAAATATGCACAAAAGGAGGCAAGATTATTCATCCTTGGGTTATTGTTAATGTTTCTTTTGGATATGACAATGGAAGACAATGGTCTCCTGACTGGTCACTTAGCATATCAAAAGAATTCACAACGCATGTGTCATTTTTAACTTCTTGCAAAGGTGCTGGTTGAAATCACAGCTTTAAAGAAAAGAATTCATGCTGTAATCCTTTTGTTGTATCACCCTGTACAATCAAATTAGCTCCTCTCATGCTGAAATTGGCCATACCATCTCTACTAGGTAGCTAATTCATCTATACACTACACACATCACATTAAATAGCATTATTCTATAGTACAACAATGAATTATGTATATGTACCCTTGACTTGACACTAGTAGTTTTTAATACATATAGACTAGTTTTTAATAAATATAGACATTCTTCGTTAAGAATTGTCTATATTTAGTAATAACTGGAAAGTGTCTAGTCTGTTTAATAATAAAATCTGTTTTTGATTTGGCTAAAATGTCCAGTCTATCAGAAGTTATAATTTCAATCAGGATACTAATGAGAATACACTAATGGCTTTCTCATATCTTTATTTATGAAATGTATACATCTTGAAGCAGCAGAGGTAGAAATAGATAAATAGCTATTTTTAAGAACGAAAATATATAGTTTTAGTTCTTTTTATGAACTATTATAAATACATTTAAAGGGGACCTGTCCATTCTCTGGAATTTCTACCGATAGATAAAATATTCCACATCACCTAGAACTTTAGCTAACCTATTTTCATGAGATGTTACAGATATTACAAATGGGATCATAGCTAACTGGTGTCTTGCTGCATATTCATATTTCTGCTTTTGTATTGTTACTAGTAAAAAAAATAAAAAATTAAAAAGTGTTTTTGCTGTACTTTCCTTATAATTACACATTCTGTTTTCTTTTTAGAGACATTACAGAAAGTGGGAAAGACAATGACAGTAAAATTATGCCAATCACATGTCGCTGGTTGATCCATTTATGCTTGTGGAACCACACAAATAAATAAAATTCTTATTGCAAATTTAAATTGCTTGTGCTTGTCTTCTTTTCAATTCTGCAGGGAATTCAAAGTAAATTCAAAGTTAATTTCAAATTAAAGGCCTAAGTAGTCAAACAGAGCATATGATTTTTTCTGGCTCAGCTATTTTGACATTAAATTTGAATTCCCTGCAGTTCTTACTTTACTGAATAACACTGCATGCAAATGCTTATTATGTTTCTGAAAATGGTATAAAAGCAAAAACAGATATTCTAGATGTACCAGAGCTCTGGCTGTATGGAAAAGAATACTACTAATATACCTGTTACTAAGAGAGTCATCATCTATAGATACATCCTACAGTTTTTATTTATTAAACAGGGAATTGTTCATTTACATTTACATTTTACCGATGCTCCACTTTTTCTGCAGTTTGGCTTTTTTTGGCCTGAATGTGTATTCCCCTTATAAATTTTTAGTTAAGTGGACAGCTGTAACTGCCAGATAAGAGAGTGACATTTTCACTAAAAAATCTGTAAAAAAAGTTTCATGAAATGTAATAAACGTTTAAAAAACTAGAAGTAAAAATTAGATGACAATTGCCCTTTCAGAATGGTGCATTTTTCGTTTCTGTTATTTAAGCCAAACTAAAGATATTTGAGCAGACATAAACACAATACAGCTTGAACCTGAGGCTAAAACCTATCAAACGTGTATCAAAAGAGATGTATAGAGGAACTAAAAGGCAGCAAAAATATATCAAACTAACGCTACATAAGGTCTGCCTAACTTTCTAAAAATCATTGACCTAATACAACATTCCAACCATGTCCCCGCACAAAAATTGCTGCCAAGCCAAAAAAAATTCTTTGGCACAAGAACAGGCCAAACAAAGCCTTCATCGCAACTCGAGGAGCTCCAGGATGGCGCCGACACCTGAAAGTGTTGACACAGACCTGGAGAGTGCTCAAGGCAATCAGCTCACCAAGAAATGCGCACAGAGTGCAAGAATTGGGGAACAGGACCTTGAATTTTGAAAACAAAATGGTGGAATATGCCGAATGCCCACAATGAATTAGCCTCAAAGGTGGAAGACCTTATGGCAAAATTTAAAAGCATGAAACCAAGTTGGTGGACATGGAGGACTGGGGAAGGAGAAACAACTTCTGTCTGAGTGGTGTTGTGGAGAAGGTGAGCAATGCCCACCTGCAGACTACGAGCGCTTAAGCCTGACTTGCCTCTTGACATGCTACTTATTTTGTTACTTGATTGATTTATTAGTGTGCAGTTACTCCTATATCTATGATATGATGTATCTTCTACTGGTATAGCAATGTGATGGCCTGTAGGGACCTAGGAATGCATGACAAGGTCTGTAGAAGAGCTAGCACCATCACCCATAGGGAGAGCTTTGTATTAACCCACATTGTATGATACCAGCTCACTGATACACAATGGAAAGCTGCCTTAAGAGCACACATCGTGCGCACCCTATTTAGAATTAATTAGGAAACTGCAACATAATTGGTACTTTGTACCAGGTAGACTATTCCATATGTATCCTAATGCTTCCAGTAAGTGCTGGAGAAAATGGATAGGTACGATGCTACATATCTGGTGGTCCTGCCAAATAATAAAACCATATTGGAAAATGGTTGTCAATGAATTCACAAACCTATTACACATACTATTCACACCCACACCAGAACAATGCCTATTGTTTATGAGCCAGGAACACATGACCAGAGTAAACAGAATGCTTCTTTTCCAAGTCCTGATTGCAGCAAACACTCTAATAGCACAAGCATGGAAAACACTACTGGCACCAGAAAAGCATAATTCAAATTTCTACTAATTGGGACTATGAACTTATGGCCCACTACCACATCCATCCAAACAAACACACCAAAACCACAAAAGACATCTGGGATAGCTATGCATCCCCGTAATACCATCACCGACTGCAGACCAATAGATAGATGCCACTCATAGTGAGAGCACTTGGCATGACTGACTTCCTCCTGCCACACAAGGCCCCATGAACACTAAAAAGCCCACTACATTTTAGACAAGAGTTCATATCCTTGCCATTCTCCTCTTCTAACCTCTCCCTTTTCCTCTGATCTTTGGGTATGTTTGTTCAAGAAAGACAACCCCCAGATTTCCCCAGTTTGCACTGCTACCCCAGTTGTACCGGTTAATGAATGCATGGCCCTGCAGGTTGGAGGACAAATAGAACTCATAGTTACACAT